CGGGGGGGGCAGGCTGGGGAAGTCCACACACAGGCAGGAGGCGGGTGAGGACTTCAGGAAGAGGTGCGTCTTCAGCTGGGCTGCTTCTGGCTTTGGAGGTCCAGCCCAGGAGCGGCGACCCTCTGAGTCCAGCTGCCTGGTCGGCTGGTTTGGGAAACGGGGCCCAGCGGGGTGGCCGTGAGGGACGGGGTCGTGGGAAGTCCTGTGGGTTCTGGTTGGGCTCCACTGGGAAGTCGGATTGTTTCTCTGCCCTTCCTCAGACCAGGCACGTTCCTTGGAGGCGGGCTCACCCCCCGCGCCCTCCCGTCCTAACATACCTTCACAGCTCTTGCAGCAGGGCCCGGGGACCGGGAACGCGCACTCGACCGGAGGGCAGGTCTTGAGCGTGCAGACGACGCTCCCCTCCCAGCAGGAGCAGAGGCGGCAGGGGGCTTGGGGGTCTGCCAACTGCTCTCCGTTGGGCAGCTCTTTGCCCTGGTAAAGGCAGCCTGGGAGGAGGCAGAGAAGGCTGGTGAAGCGGAAGAGCTGGTGGGCAGGAGACCATCCGAGGTGCTGGCACAAGGGACGCCAATGACGTCATCTGGCAGAAGCAGCGTCATTGGGGCCATCCGCGTGATGGCGCCATCCTGCGCTTGATGTCATCACCCCCCACCCCGGATAGCCACGGGGGCTTGGCTAACAGGCTGGGACAAGCAGGGGGTGTCTCTGAGCATGGCAGACCTCCGTTCTTTTATATCCTGCTGCTTTGTGTTAATAACACAATCCCTGCCCGTGGCAACGGCTCCCCGTTTGTTGCCATGGGCCGTCGCTGCCTGAATCGTAGACCTGAATAGAGAAACAGGGATAGGCATGGCCAGCCTCACCTGACTGCTCGGGGCCTAGAGAAGCCACGCTTGTGGCAGACGGAGAGCTGGAAAGCCACAGACGGGGGTGCAACCCGCCTGGGAACCCTTGGCTGAAGACGAACGAGCGACCCCTCGAGGGCTGGGACTTTGGGGGTGGGGAGAGCATCGGGGAGGGCAGGGGCTGCCCGTTACCGTCACAGGAGCGGCAGCAGCCCTGTTGCAGCGGGTGGGAGCACTGGACTGGCGCGCAGGGCTGGCGCTGGCAAGTGATGGTGCCATTAGCGCAGACGCAGTTCCGGCACTTCTCTGACGGGTCGTAGAACCGCTCCAGGTGCTTATAGGAGACCCCCAAGTACAGGCAGCCAGCCGGAGGGGCTAAAAATAGGGAGGGGGCTGTTAGAGGGGTGGCGGGGCCTCCCCCCTCTGGTGCTCCTGAAATGCCTCCCATCCCCTCCATTTGGGGTGGCAGTCCTCCCCTTCAAAGCCCAGCCGTTGCGGGTGAGGCGGCCAGGGGAGGGCCCTACCTGGACACTGGGGGCAGCACTCTTGGGGCTTCACGAAGGGCTCGGGGCAGAGCAGGGGTGGGCAGCGACGGGAGAGGCACTGCACGTGGCCGTTCTGCAAAGGGAGGGAAGGGAATCCCGCTGGCATCTCTCCTTGCAGGCTGAGAAGCCCCCTTGGCCGACAGGCATCCCGAGGCCGTGCAGTCCAGCCCCGTGCCCCAGGAGCAGCCGCCCCATCTCCCTCCGAACTGCTCCGAGGGAGGCTGCCATCTTTGCGGGTCCTCACGGTGGCACTCACAATGCAGTGGCACTGCCGGCAACTGTCAGTGGGGTGGGGGAACTCTGCCCCGTTGGGGTACTCCTTTCCGGCGTAGCTGCAACCTGCGTAGAGTATCAGCGGCATCATTTTTGCGGGAAGAGGAAAAAAGGATGCAAGCTGGGTTTTTTTTCGGGGGGGGCATCCCAGAGCGGGCACAAGAATGATTTTAATTCAATGGTGTTGCTGTTTTTCTCTAGAGCACTGCTTCTCAACCTTGGCGACTTTAAGATGTGGGGTCTCCAACTCCCAGAATCCACCCATCTGAAAGCAGGCTGGCTGGGGAATTCTGGGAGTTGAAGTCCCCATCTTAAGGTTGCTAAGATGGAGAAATGCTGCCCTAGAGGAAGCGGGTGGTCAGCAAGGAACGGGGTCATCTGGGAAAAAGCATGGTGGTCCGGAAGCTCCGCGCGAGGCTCTGCCGGTCCTACCGTTGCAGTTGTTCTGGCAGCAGGAGCCTGGCAAGGGGTGGGCGCAGAGGGGAGCCGAGCACTTCCGGGGGGTGCAGATCAGCGCTCCACCAGTGCAGACACAGGCCTGGCACGGATCCAGCGGGTCAGGGAGCTCCTCTCCCTCTGGCACCACGTGGTTCTCGTGAAGGCAGCCTAGACCGGTGGGTGGGGAGGGATGAGAGAAAGGGCAGTTAACACCCCCCCCGGCCACTCGGCTCCCAGTGGCTCCCAGTGGCTCCCAGTGACTCCCAGTGGCTCCCGGTGACTCCCAGTTACGTATTTCGGGAGACCAAGGAACCGAGAGGATAGAGAAGAGAGCAGAGAAACAGCCCGGGCCCCTTCCAGGAGAGGAAGCGCTCCTGGGGGAGAGGAAGGGGCTCTGCCTCTCTTGAGGAAGGGGCTCAGCTTGGTTCTGGATGGGGAAACCCCTCCCTGGAAAGAGAAACCCATGGTTTGGGGGGAGCTACCATCATGCAACCTTGGAAGAATATCTGGGAACTTCTGTTGGGCAGATGGGGCCCCTCCTGCAAGGGCGGTCACCCTCCGACTCCCAAATGGCTGGAATCGGGCTAGCCAAGCCCCCTCTCCTCCACACCAGCATGGCAAGGTGGGTAGCCAGCCCTTTTCTGCATCGAGTCTTCCCCCCAGGAGGCCCGCCTGGCCCCTTCATGGTTTGGGGTTCCATTTTCCTGCTGAGATGACCTAGGTTGGGAGTGGCTTTTAGAGCAATTCAAGGACTGGCAAGTAGTCCAGCTGTGGCTACTGGCTTTGGCGTCTCCAGCAAGCAGCAAGTGCCGCTTTCTGGAGAAGCTGGTGGCCTCCATGGAGGTATCAGGCTGGCTCATGGGGAAAAAAGAGTGGCTGGTCCTTCAGCTGGATGCGCCAGGACTTTTCTTAGGCTCGTCATAATCTCCTTGATGCTTCAACGGTGTCAAGAGAGGAGCAATGTGGCCCCCCCGATGTCCCCAGCACCTTCTCCATTTCCTTGTGGGAGCTCAGCTCAGCTATGGCTGTGAAGCCAAAGGTCCCATCTTCTTCTCTACCGATCTCAGAGCCACTGAGGGAAAAACAATGATGGATCCCCCACCTGGCCCACCGACCTTGAATATTATTCCTACACATGGTGGAAAGAAAACCTTCTAAACCAGTTATTGCATCTTTCTATCACTCTGGCTGCAAAGTCTGGAATTCCAGAGAGATAAAGCAAGAGGTAGAAGGTGCCCCATCGATTCTCTTCAGTGACTCACCAGGACATGTGGGACAGCAGGATCCAGGCCTCTGCTCTGGGTGGGGGCAGGTCACTGGCGGGCAAACAGTGGGTGAGCAATGGACTGTGCCACCCTGCAGGAAGGGACATAGAAGGAGATCTAGACCAATGTTTCTCAACTTGGAAGTTTGAAGATGGGTGGACTTCAACTCCCAGAATTCCCCAGCCAGCCACCGTGGTTGTTAAGTGAATCACATGGTCATTAAGCAAATCACATGGTCATTAAGCGAATCCAGCTTCCCCAATGAATGTTTTTTGCTGGAATTTGCTTAATGATCATGTGATTCGCTTAACAACCATTGTAAAAAAGATTGCAAATCGCAATCATGTGACCGTGGGGGTCGCAAAGCACTTTTTCCACAGCCGTCGTAACTCCGGACCATCATTAAACAAATGGTTGTTAAGTGAGGACCACCCATACTTTCTAAATGGATAGTTAAATTGAGATGGTGACTTTGACCTTTTTTAAAAGAAAAATTAACTCTCTCCCTTGTTCCAATTACTAAACTGTTCACGGCATAAATAGAAACCTAAATGAAGGAAGCCTCTGAAACACTTTACATGGTTAATATTAGCCAACGTAATTGTGCGATGTAGTCCTTGGCTCTTTAAATGACCTGGATGTTGTGTCGTGTAGCACCCTGGGTGCAACATGGCCAGAAGGAGAGCCCAGCCAGGTGTCTGGGAGAGACCCTAATGACATCATGTGTGTCATCACGCAAATGACACAGATGATGCACTGGGATCAGCCACATGTGGGTCACGCCAATTACATCCTCTGTGCTGCACGACGACATCGTGACGCGCCTGATGTCCCTTGCCTCCCCCTCTGCGGATGCCCACAAGTATAAATTTTATTTATATTTATTTCAAATTTGTCGCCGCCCATCTCACTGTGGGGCGACTCTCGGTGGCTTACAGTAAAAATAGAATAAACGTTAATTAAAATAAATAAATAAATATTAATGAATGAATTAAAACGTGCCAAAAAATAAATCTCAGATGAGCGATCACCAAACCAACACAGGTTCAGTTTGGCGCAGCGGCTTCAGGGTTTGGGCTGTAAAGCAACTTTGGCGGGCAGAAGGGTTTGGGGGCACCGCGGGGCATTCCCCGGCCGGACCGGGTGGACCTCACCGTACACCGGCAACTCTGGCAGGGACTGTCCAGATCGGTGAACTCTTGGCCGTGGCTGTAGAGGCGCTGGTGGTAGGAGCACTGGTGGCAGCGAGGACAGCAGGAGCCTTGAAGGGGGCAGAGGGAGAGCGGGTAAGGCCCGTGGCGCAAGGGAGCCCCTTAGACCACGGATGAACGTTCAACGGCTGAATGCCCAGTCGGTGAGAATCGAGAGTCGGAGGATGGAAGAAGGGGCAGGGGGTTCATTAGAAACTGAAACGCAAGAGGTCTCATTGTGGTTTAGTACAGTGTTGCTCAACGTTGGCAGCTTG